GCATATCAGGAATGCTCAAGTGAAACAAGTGTCTTCATTACAGTACTATTACATCACAGTAATTACAGTAGTAATGGTGATGTATGATAGCAGGAAGAGGAAAGAAAAATCTTCAAACTGAGGTTTTAAAAAACGAGCTTGAAACACTTGAACATCTGTCTCTGTGTTCAAAGTTTATCTTTCCAAGAACTGCATTCTATCGTAGAACTGTAACTTGGCCACCTTCTTTTATGTTGTTATCCATATAACCTGCAGTTACCTTTGTCAGTCAGAGTTTCCAGTCAAACTTGAATTATGTGAGGTTATGTAATCACTTAATACTTTAAAAGTGAGGGGAGAGAATAACACAGGTGGTGATTAAAACTTTGTTTCTCATTAACTAACTCTCTTGAACAGAATTATCTTCTGCAGACGGTGTTAACTCAGTCCGTAAGAATAAATACAGATACTTGTCTATACTGTGACATTGGAATAGCAAGTTTGGTGTTTCTGTGCTATTTTGAAGTATAGGACAGTGAGGGCTGTGGTAGCTGGCAAACAGCTCTTTAAGAATGTAATAGATGCCTTTTCTTTACCGTTAGACCCAAGATAACATCACGGTCAGATGGGACCTGGGCTTGAACAAGAAAAGAATTGCTTATTTCACTTTGCCAAAGACTGATTCAGGTAATGACAGCTTGATTGTATGTTTTTGCTGGGTTGTTTTTTTATGCCCGGTGAATAATAGCGATGTTTAAAGAACTGTGGTCATCTGGCGTGGGATACAGGATAGTACTGTAAGTTTTTTTTGTGTTGGGAGATGGTTGTTCTTTGAATATTCTGAGAGCATTTTTTCCGTTCTTCCTTCCCTTATAGATATGCGTCTTATGCAAGGAGATGAGATCTGCTTGAGGTATAAAGGAGACCTGGCCCCTTTATGGAAAGGAATTGGTCATGTTATCAAAGTTCCTGATAGTATCCTTTACTTGGTGAGCCTTCAGGAAGGCTTAATTGGAGGTTGAAATCTGAGAAATGAGTAATTTCTTTCAAAATTATACAAGTAATTTTGAGATTATTTTAATGTGTCATGGGGATCTGCTAAAAAATCAAAATTGGGGAAAATAAAATTCAAAATTTTGCTATAGATTACTACTTAACGAGGTTCTACAGATTATGGTGATGAGATAGCCATTGAACTGAGGAGCAGCGTTGGAGCGCCTGTGGAAGTTACTCATAACTTCCAAGTGGATTTTGTATGGAAGTCTACTTCGTTTGACAGGTACTGAAGAGAGCACTTCAGAGATAATGGGTGCAGTTGGTGCATATTTTTCCCTTTACCTTCAGTGGGAATTTCTGAACATGCCATTGTTTCATGGCACTAGCAATCGGAAATCTGATTATGCTGAATGTTTCAAATCCATGAACACATGAAATTGGCTTCACAGAGCAACAGGCCTCAGTTTTATTAGAAATGGAATTAATCTGAATGCCATCAGACTGCCAATTTTTCTCATTTTGAAGGCGCTCTTAAGATTTGTTGCAAATGCATCAAGGTAATGCATAAACCAAAGGGGGGAATTCTACCGTATGTTTAGTAATACTTGGAATGTAAGAAGAAAAACTGTTTTGCAGTTCAGCTTCCTGACATCATGAAGTGCGTTCTGATTTTAGTTTGCCTTCCTAAACTTGGAATTGTTTTAATTAGCTGAAATTTCAAGGCATTGGAATCAGCCATGGGGTCAGTAGGCTTCAGACATGCCTGTACTGCATTTTGTAAGATAGGAGTTTGTTTATTATTCTGAAAGAGATATTACCAAGTACAAATTTTCTTCAAATCTTGCACCTAAAATTACTATTGCAGATTCTGTCAAAGCTGGTGTTTCTCTATGTATTTTTTTGTGGTTATAATACTCTGTGGTATTTGCATGGGAGAAAACAAGATCTGTGTTCTCAGTCTAATTTTTATCTCTTAATCCTGTTAGTAAGTGTTCTACATTGTTCTCTTTTCCCAAGGTATACTTTAATTTGTGCCTGATGTCTGATTAACCTTTATGTAGGACACTTGTGGAGAGCCGTATTTGAGGTAATACTTAATTATTTTTTTCTGTCCTTCCCTCATTTCAGAATGCAGAGTGCTTTAAAAACATTTGCTGTGGATGAGACTTCAGTGTCTGGGTACATCTATCACAAACTGTTAGGTCATGAGGTAGAAGATGTAATTATTAAATGCCAGTTGCCAAAGCGCTTTACAGCACAAGGACTTCCTGATCTCAACCATTCTCAGGTAACCTCATCTCCTTTTTGCTACACGCAAAGAATACGATAAAGGATTTATGAATAGAGGTTGAACAGCTTTGTAACTTCCTGCACATTGAATGCTGAATAGCAGTAACTTCTTTTTACAGGTTTATGCTGTGAAGACTGTCCTGCAGCGTCCTCTGAGCCTTATTCAGGGTCCCCCTGGTACTGGAAAAACAGTGACATCAGCCACAATCGTCTATCATCTGGCTAGACAGGGCAATGGGTAAGAACTATTCTCTCTAAATCTGTATGTATGAGGTTACTTTATTAATGGCCAAAGAATCAACTTGATTTTAAAAATTAAAGTACCTTGTATGATTGAACTAAAAAGGTTTTCTAAAAGTATATTTTTCTGGGAAGACTTGTGCTTATTTAAGAAAGAAATTCTTCCCCAGCGTATTTTTAGGGGACATGTGTTACAACACATGATTTTATTACAAGTCTAGTGGAAAAAAGTTTAAAGCTCATTGAGACTTACTTTTTTGCTTAATTTTTTTAAGGCCTGTGTTAGTCTGTGCTCCGAGTAATATAGCTGTAGATCAGTTGACTGAGAAGATCCATCAAACTGGACTGAAAGTGGTTCGTCTGTGTGCTAAAAGTCGTGAGGCAATTGACTCTCCTGTATCCTTCTTGGCATTGCATAACCAGATCAGAAACATGGATAGGTAAGAAATGGTTGAGGGGGGCAGAGGAAAAAAAAAAAACCCAAAACGCACAACTTAAGTGTTGTGATGGACACAAACGATTAACTGTGTAACGATGACAATGTGTATTTGCTTGATGTGGTAACTTTTTTGGTTCTATACATGTGTCATGTTTACTTTTACAAATGAGTTCCGCTGTAATCCTACCAAGTTTTTAATTAGGCCATAAAGCAAAATTCCTTTTTTGCAGCATGCCAGAGCTTCAGAAACTGCAGCAGCTTAAAGATGAAACTGGAGAACTGTCATCTGCTGATGAGAAACGTTACCGTGCACTGAAACGAACAGCAGAGCGTGAATTACTTATGGTAAGGTTCCACTGGTTCTAGCAGCTTCAATATCTGTTTTCTGCCACTTGAGGCTTGCAATTTGCCTCAATTGCAGAGGCAATTTTACTTTTGGGGGGATTCCTGGAAAGGTATTGAATACTCTTCCATGTAGAAGTATTGTCTGTTGATTTTCTACTCGATTAATTTCAGTTGTGTTTGTCTCAGAATGCAGATGTGATCTGTTGCACATGTGTGGGAGCTGGTGATCCAAGACTTGCAAAAATGCAGTTCCGCTCCATTCTGATTGATGAAAGCACACAGGCTACTGAGCCAGAGTGCATGGTGCCAGTTGTCCTGGGAGCAAAACAGGTAGGACCCATTGGATTTCATTAGAGAAAATTAGAGTTTATAAATAGTGGAAGTAGCATCAAGCAGTAACATTCACAGTGTAGGCATGTAGGGATGCAAAATCCTTTCTAGTCATGGAAGGCGCTTCCATAATATAGATCTAAATGACTTTATTTTGTGTTAGCCCTGTTGGTTTTCTGTTTCCGTGGTATAATCTCTGTCTAGAACACGTTGGTCCTGTTGGAACAATCTGGAGACTGAATAAGATTTTATTCAAAAATGATCGGCTGAATAGCTAGTTGACACTAAAGGTTTGTAAGCCTTAGATTAAAGCCTGAAGCTTATAACAAATCAGACTGAATAGTGCCTAAATATATTTTGCAGTAGGATATTGCTGTCGTTTCTAGCTGTTGGGCAAGTTTCAGAAAATGCCAACCGAGATCAAACTTTCTTTTCCACAGCTTATTCTTGTAGGTGACCACTGCCAGCTTGGTCCTGTTGTGATGTGTAAAAAAGCTGCGAAGGCTGGCCTGTCTCAATCTCTCTTTGAGAGGTTGGTGGTGCTGGGGATTCGTCCGATTCGCCTGCAAGTGCAGTATCGCATGCATCCTGCACTCAGTGCTTTTCCATCCAATATCTTCTATGAGGGTTCACTCCAGAATGGTGTTACTGCAGGTAAGCAAGACTAGTACTTCTGCAAATTACTTGCTTTTCCATTCATTAAGGGTCAAAGGGAAGGATTCTTTAATCCAGATGAGTTTTTAATACACTTGCTTAAAAAGAGTGCACTTAGAGTTTTGAGTCCTTGAGGTGCTTTGATATGAAAATGGGTGTTCTTTCTAGTAAAGCAGTGCTAACTTTTTTTACTTGCTGTTTTTGTGCTCTTCAGCGGACCGTGTGAAAAAAGGTTTTGATTTCCAGTGGCCACAGCCAGATAAGCCAATGTTTTTCTATGTTACACAAGGACAGGAAGAAATTGCCAGCTCAGGCACCTCTTACTTGAACAGGTAAACAAAATTCAGCGCTGAGATACAAACTTACACTGGGGCGAAGTATTTTTAAGTATCTCAAATGTAAGGGAGAATGTTAAATGAATGTGTTTAAAAATCCAGTGACATCCCTTGGAGACAGTCACAATTAATGAAGTCAAGGGAAAGTGCAATACACGCTTCTCACTGCAAACCACGTATCTAAGCATTTCTCTATCCTTCAGAATCTCTGCAGCAAAACTCATAGTATTCTGTATTCACCATAACTTGTGTGTGCCATGGTGTGTGAATAAAGGCCTAACAGCTAAAGGCACGCTTGTGTTTTTGAAGAAAAGTTACCTTCTGTTTCTGTGAAGGTGGTATCTATACCTCAAATGAGCCAGCCCAGAGACCTCAAATGTGTTGTGTGCTGGGATACAGTACTTCAGTGCTATCGATTCGTATGTTCTGCACTACTCCTAAATTAATAAAATGCTGTTTCCTATTAACAGCTATGATTGCAATTGCTTGTGTGCTTTTTTTAATAAAAGCGGCTATCAAGGATAGTGCAGGCTGAGCCGCCTTTTGGAGTTGGTTTGCCCCAGGCTCCCTTTACAGTAAACGAAGAGAAAAAGGCATCTTAAGTGGGTTTGAATTGTTCTGTGGAGGTGTGTGTTTTCCTTCACTGGTAGCATAAGGAGCGTGAGACAATTAAGCGCCTAATATGTGGGATTAATTTGGGCCAGCAAGTAAACTGACTGCAGTTGCAGGAGGAAATGCTGATCAAGTCCCATTTCAAAGCCAAAATTCCAATAGCTCCTGAAGCAGAGTCCTAAGCCTTGGATTTTGGCGGGGGTGTGAAAGGGACGGGAATTTAATTTTCTTTCTTCATTCCATTTTTTCTGCACGTTGGAACTTATTTTTCAAAGACTGAGCTTGAAACATTTTGCTCCTCTTGGTTGTGTGCATTTGTTCATGTGCCTGAAAGGGAAACCAGACCAACTTATGAAAAATATCTGCTGTGATATTTTTAATCTCTCTGTTTCATGAACAGCATGTGCAAGACTGCTGAATGCAGCAGGCCAGATTGTGCACAAACAAATGGCACAATAGTTGGCTGACAGGGAGATTGGCATTAAAAACATTCTATATTTAAAACTTTAAGATAAAGCAACTGAAGGATCTGTTTGCACAGCAGGCTGGAGCATTTTTAATGATCGCATTCAAAATACACGTGTACATTTAACTCTACTAAGTAGTTCCATTTCAGAATGATAGCCACAATGAATTTTGTGTAGTTCTGTAGTTCTGAGAAGGTGGAGGTATATATTAAGGAGAAATTTCTGTGTTAGAGACTTTTTTTAGATACTGGCTTTTGCCTGTATTGCTCTGGCTGAGAATATCTATGTATGGCCTAAGTCAAGAGGTGATAGTCGTGAATGTTCCTGCAAAGCTGAAGCCAAATTAATCAGGGTGCTTGAGCAATGCAGTGTAAAACTGATCTTTTTCTTGAAGGAGCCTTTTGTCAAAAGGCTAGCACGGTATACATGTTCAAGTTTTTGCAAGTTAGTGGGTCTAAAAAAAAAAGTTAGACCTAATGCCTTGATTCTCCTTGGATAAACAAATCTTTCTTTCTAGGACGGAAGCTGCCAATGTGGAGAAGATAACTACAAAGCTATTGAAAGCTGGTGCCAAACCAGATCAGATTGGCATTATTACTCCTTATGAAGGTCAACGATCCTATCTGGTGCAGTACATGCAATTCAGTGGCTCCTTGCATACAAAGCTCTACCAGGTATGGAGTCATTGCAAACGAGAACACTTGGATGCAGAGAAGCTAGAAGAGTCCAATATTATGAAACCTCACAGTATTTTCATTTTTAGTCTGGCTTCTTAGGCGTCAGCCTGTTTATTTTTTAGTACTTTTTGAGGTTTTTAGTTGATTGTGGTTAAAATGGACCAGGGAGAAGAGTTTAGGAGGTATCAAATGCCAGTAAGTGTCGGGGGAGCAGTTGGTCAGATAAAGGAGAAAGCCCTGTTAAGGTCTCTGTTGAAAGGAAGGCTTCAGTGAGTCCATCCTCTGAGGACTCGCTGAGGCACAGAAGGGAGAGGTCACAGCTTCAGCTGTGGAAAAGCTTCAGTCAGCTTGTGTCTTAGATAAAAGCATCAAGCTAAGAGACATGCAGGAAACCAAGCTCCATAAATTCTGATGGTCATACTATTTATTTGCTTGGGAATATGTTCTCGCATCAGTGGAACTCCCCTACCAACCATTAAAAATTGTTGCTACAAACAAGGCGGTTGTATGTTTAATGCAGTCTGTTTTGCAATATTGAAAACTTGGTCAGTGTTTTCACTGAAGGAAAACTTGGTGGAAATACTTTTATTTCTGCCAGGAATGATCTGTGTCTCTGATTCAGGTTTCTTGGTAGCTGGGAGCAGCAGTGCTAATTTGGAGCTGTCTTACTACAAGACTTTGGAATAGTCAGAAGTCTTTGGCAGCGTACCTAGAAATGGGATGCTTTCCGTAGCACAAATGCCAGTTCTGGGGGAAATACAAGGACCATAAAGCAATGGACATAAAAGTAATTTGTCCTAAACTGAGACTGTCTGTTCTCCTTTAGGAAACTATTTAGTGACCAGTGGAATTACCAAATCATTCGTCGTTACAAAAAATAACATTTTTGGCAAATGATGGGAACTCCTAGTGTACGGCCAACACATTTTGTAATGCCTGTTGGTAGCGTAACTGTTTTGCCCTGTGCTTCCGTGATTTACATGTTTTCCTCTGTTTCAGGAAGTGGAAATTGCAAGTGTGGATGCCTTCCAGGGTCGAGAGAAGGACTTTATTATCCTTTCTTGTGTGAGGGCCAATGAACACCAAGGGATAGGGTTTCTGAATGACCCCAGGCGTCTTAATGTAGCTCTTACAAGAGCAAGGTAAAGTAAAATGGGGCAAATTTTTAGCTGTTCTAGAGACCTGATTTGGTCTGCTAAAGCAGTGATAGAGTCTGACAAACAAAAGGTCTGTGTTTTGTGGGCAGCAGGCGCATTCCCCACCACACCTGGTTTAAAGGAGCCTTGAATGATTTCCACATTTCCTACAATTTACCAAGAGCAGTCTCAACTTAATCAGTGTTACCATTTGGCATCAGCAGTCTGTAGAATCCAGCATGTTGTTCCCCTTTGTTTGCAGGACAGAGTTCTTCCCTTCGTCTGCTTCTTTATCTGTTCCAGCAACCATTTTTTACCATTTTGCTCCTCTTAAAGTGGGTTTGATTACTGAGAAAGGTAATGTGGAGTCATGCTACGTTGGTTGGCTTCCTTGGTTTCTGCAAGCTTTAAACCAGTACGGTGTGGTTGGTTGAGTACATGGACGTGTTTGGCAAGCCTGCAAAAGGAAGCTTGTGATTATTGAGAAACTGGCTGCAGCAATCTCCTTTCAAATGTTTTGTCATACTACAGAAATCATCTGCTGTAAACAAAACAATTGTATCGGGGTCTCCTACACCTGCTGTCATGGTGCCTTGATTTACTGCAAAAGAGATTTGACTTTGAGGCTATTCTGCCATTAATATGTAACGTGGCTTTATTTTTAGTCAAAAGTAATTTTAGTTTCTCTGTTTGCTGTTGTACAGGTATGGAGTAATTATTGTTGGCAACCCAAAAGCGCTGTCTAAACAACCACTTTGGAATCACCTGCTGAATTACTACAAGGAGCAGAAGGTTCTGGTGGAGGGACCACTGAATAACCTCCGGGAAAGCCTTATGCAGTTCAGCAAGCCCCGGAAACTTGTCAATACCATCAACCCAGTAAGTTGGTCTCTCCTGTGTCTCGGATGTTTGTGGCATGAAGCAATTGGAGGTTGATTGATCAATTATAAATGGATGGAATAAACAGTCACCCACATACCTTCACACACCCATAACTTTCCATTTCTGTTGCCTAGTGAATGCAGTGTGACCCAAGTAAGTTGCTGCTTCAACTGTTTTTAAGTTGAACATTTGTAGAAAAGCCTTTTTGGTGCCTTTTTTGGTCTTTATTTACTGCAAAATTTTATGAGGGGGTAACTTCTGAGGTGAATGAAATATCAAGTAACTGTTTTGTGTAGAAATGGCAAGCTCATTAGGCGCGTGTACTTCATAGCATTGTACGTTAAAACCTGCAGATTGAGGGTTATACTTAGTTCTTTAACATAAGCAGTTGTTCAAAGGGACGGGGGGAAGCTTGCCAGCCATCGCGAAAGGACTGTGGTAGGAATAGAGCGAGAGAGAACTATCATCAGAGCCTCTAAAGGCTGAAAATTTGTCAAAACTTTTCACAGTTTGAGATAGGCTGCCTGTAAAATCTTTTCTTTTTCGTGATGTAGTTGAAATAATAATTGGATGTTTTCCATGCATTAGAACTAGTTGGTTTCCTCAGCACTTGTAAAGTATCCGTCATCCGTGGAGTTCAGCTGGATTCTTACCCAAAATAACTTACGCTGAAGTTGCTGTGCAAAGTTTTCTATGCAAAGGCTTTGTCTAACGCCTACAATGCTTCCAGGGTGCCCGTTTCATGACAACTGCCATGTATGATGCACGTGAGGCTATTATTCCAGGATCTGTCTATGACCGGAGCAGTCAAGGTAAAGGAAGCCTATCAAAATTAACACCTTTGTAGATTTATTATTTTCCCCACCCGGTCCTTGGGGCATAGTATCTTGGACACTTGAAACTTCTAGGTGTTTGAAGAGGCATTACAGAAAAATCTGGACTTTAAGAACTGAAAATGTTCATGATGTGCCTGGATACTGCTTAAGTATCCAGAGACGTTGCTCTCTATATAGAAGTCCCTCCAGTCTAACTTTGATGGCTGCAGAGCAAGTAAAAAAATGAGGGGGAAGGGAGCGTGTGTGTAAGCGTTTCAGGAATCTCAGATGGGGCTGTAGAAGAATAAATGGCTAGGGATGAGCATGTGTTATATGGGTCTCTGAAATTTTGAAGTGAGGAATAAACGGTGAACTGGAAGTATTCATGGTTCTGGGCAGTGAAAGGCTTGTCCTTTCAAATTCTGGTTTATCCTGCTCACAAGTCTTCCCATTACTGTTAAAAGCAGGAATATGAATTGATTTTTAAATATTCGGTACGTCTGAAATCGTGGCTTTTCCTCCTCTCTCCAGGGCGCCCATCCAACATGTACTTCCAAACCCACGACCAGATCGGGATGATTAGTGCTGGCCCCAGCCATGTCACTGCTATGAACATTCCTATCCCGTTCAACCTTGTGATGCCACCGATGCCGCCACCAGGATACTTTGGCCAGGCTAACGGACCAGCTGCAGGTACGGGGCAAGGGGTGGTACAAAAGCCACGTTTTAAGTCTGAAATGGGAGAATAGGAGAATGGTGTTTGCTACTCCTGCAGCAGCGCTGGTGAGAGTAGATGATGTGCTTCAGTAGTAAATGAGTTGTATGGAGTACAAACGCAGCGGCCCTGCAGCCTCCAGTGAGTGTCCCTTTGCCATGTCTGCGCTGGAGGTTCTGCCTTTTGATATCTCTGCACCTGCTACCTTGAGTACACGTAAAACGTTGCCTCTTGTGAGTGATCGAGTCTTTATAGAAACAGTTAATTGCCACGTGTTTGCACGCGTAAGACTTCTCACTGTCGGTTGGGTTAAATGCTTTTCCAGGACGTGGGGCGCCAAAGGGGAAGACTGGTCGCGGTGGGCGCCAGAAAAATCGTTTTGGGATTCCTGGAACTAGTCAGTCAAATCTTCCAAACAGTCAAGCGAGCCAAGATGTGGTGTCCCAGCCTTTCTCCCAGGGTCCACTGACTCAGGGGTATATCTCCATGAGTCAGCCATCACAGATGAGTCAGCCTGGGCTCTCCCAACCAGAATTATCACAGGTAAGCAGAGTTTGATGTATAGTCAGTCTGCTCTTTTTCCCAGGTTTTATGGCAGTGAACTGTGCGCATGCACATCCATGTTTCCTAGTACTGAGGAAAACAAGCTAAAACCATTTTCAGTGACTCGGACACAGCATTTCATACTCCTCCATTTGGTGGACTCGGGCATTTTACTTTTAGTGATGCTGCATGTGTAGACTTCAACTCAAGCCCTAACTTTGAACTGCTTGGGTGTTCAACGGCCAGCTATTGCAAAACCTTTGTATTTGTGGAGATTCTGCAGCAAGAAGAGTAAATTTAAAAAAAAAAAACCCAAAACCAAATAACAAGCAAAAACCTCTCAGACTTTACAATTAACCTCGGCTGCCAGGTATTCTGCTTTGTAAGGGAGCACTTGAGCTTGATACTGAGTTAACGTTAGAGGCTTAACACACACTTTCATTTTCAGGACAGTTACCTTGGTGATGAGTTTAAATCTCAGATTGACGTGGCGCTGTCACAGGACTCTACTTACCAGGGTGAACGTGCATATCAACATGGCGGAGTGACGGGACTGTCACAGTATTAGAGTGTAAGGCACCTGAGGTTCACTCCTCTGCTTCTTACCCCTGATTTAAGTTCACAAACACAGTGTTTGCCTTGAGAGTGAGGTCCCTAACCCAGCTGTCGTTTTGCTTTCTTGCTTTCAGGTTGAGGAAGAAGAGCTAAGCTTGTGTGGAGCTTAGTTCATCAGCATTTTATTCTGGGTAATAAAAAAAATAAAATAAAATGGATACCTGTTTTCCACTGCTAAAACTGAAGCACCACTGTGTGAGAGCAACAGGAGAAAGAAACCAACCAACGGAGAGGAGAGAGAAAGGAGCGCGCGCGAGAGAGCCCACTGCTAGCTCACTGAGACAAGGAGACTGACCGGAGAGGAGAGAGAGCACCGAAGGACTGGCTGGCGCCTCACTGGGAAGGCAACTCACCCTGAAATGAGTGGTCAGCCGAGTCCCTGCTCCCCCAGTCAAACAAGCTCGAGAGAAGGGCCTTAAGCAGGTTTCACTTCATTCCATACTTCTCTTTGCGAGCAGGGCATTACTTTTCAGAGCAGATGGGGAGAGGAAAACCCTCATCTCAGAGTTGTTCTCGTTGTAAAGGGGTACTATATTTTAGCAGTAACTGTTTACACTTTAGAAGCAGAGTATCTTGAGAGAGAGAGGGAGAGTTCCTGACTAAGTGACAGCAAGCCAAGCAGAAATCCAGCGGAATGCAGCTGATGCTCAACTCTGAGATGCAGGTTTTGTTGTCCAACACTGGCTCTGAAATCCTAGTGTCATCGTGTCGCCCACATTCTGAACGGGTCTTTCGTGACAAGGTGGTTTTAAGAGATTCTTTCAAAGGAGCACTGAATTTTTAGAAGTTTTGTCTCTGAATTCTTAGTGGTGGACCTGGGAGATCCTTGTTCTGAGAAGCTTACAAAAAGTTTAAAACAAAACTAAATTAGAGCACCAACCTTGAGAACTTTCAGTGTGATTTAAAGTTGCAGCAATCAGCCTCTTCTTCCTACATTGGATAGCAGTTAGAGTGAAAGGAGCCTGCGCGCTCGAGCAGGAGGAGGGTTTCGAAGTGTTTTCTGTATGCTTTAATTGGCTACTGTCTGGACTCTACTCTGTGAAAAACAAGCCTTTCTGTAAGATGAACTTTGCGCTTGAAAGGGGATGGGTTCCTGTGCCCTTCGGCCCTGGAGGAAAAGATGCTAACAAACAGGCCTGCTTTACTCACTCCCTCAGCTCTGGGGAAGACGTAGTGGAAACTGGGGATTATATTGGTTTTGAAGTAAAGACTCTACAACGTTACCGAAGCAGGTTGGAAAAACGGACAAAGCAGGCAGTTGTTGGAAGGTGGCCTCTGGTAGCTGGGTATAATTAGAGATAATGGGTTAGGCTTTTGTGTGGCTTCTTCGGTGATTAATGCAGATAGCTGAAAGATTCAGGTGTTGAAAACCAAACCCGGAGCCTATTTTTCAGGTAGTGGACACGGCTGTGCCATCAATGCTGGCTTGAGAAATAGCTGGAAGTCAAAACTGAAAACAGCACATAAGAGAAGCCATCCAATTTCTAAGTTGTACCCATGTCTTAAATAAGTCATATGGGAACACTGGGAGCATTTTATTTCTGTCTAAACCTTTTTAGAAACAGCGCAGAGAACTTAAAATTCCTACAGACCCATTTTTATCAGATCCCTAAATTAGACTAACCTCTACCTCCCAATTGGCAAAGATCAGTAGAGTGTGATTCACTAACCTAGGTGTTTTTAAAGTTTGAATTAAGTTAGCTTTATACTCAAAGGGCTCCAAGTGTTTCTAGTCTTTTTTTTGGGGGAACTCAAAATACCTCTCATATGAATGTACTTAAATGATGTAAACCCCGCTTTTTGTAACTGGGGGGGAAAGCCCTTTCATTACTGTCCTTTCTGTAGATTGTTGACCCACTTTCATAACCTGTATTTGCTGTAGTTTTTCAAGAGTGTCTCTCCCCCAGTGCAGACCTGGTGTAGCATACCCACAAACCGTGAGTAGCGTGCACATAAACATGGAACAGGTGTTCAGAATTTTTGTTCAGTCCTGCAGCGAACGTAGTTCGAGAACTGCGAAAGAAACTTTCCAGAAATGAAAACCATTCTTTACTCACAAAAAGCCTCCAGAGTTTAGACTTCTAAAATGTGAAAGAATGGAGACACAGGCCACCTTCCTTCCTTGTAAGATGGACTGTTTTATTTATTAACATTGCCGAAGGGCTTTTTAATTTTTTTTCCTTCTGTAGGCTGCATAGTTGCATAGACTTTTCAAATAGGTTTAAGCTGTAACCCTCTGTGCAATGCAATCCATTGAGTAATGTAACCCCCTCCTCTCCCCTCACCCCCTTTATTTCACTGATGGGAATGCTTGCCTCTGCTTTGTGCTGGTTTTTTCCTTTGTAGCAGTTACTCTGAGTTTTATAAATCCAGACATCAGTGCTAGCACGGTGTTACTCTTTTTTGATTTTGTCTCAGTTTGTTTTAAACCTGTTTGTCATCAATAAAATATTAATAAACAGCTCTTGCATTCAAGGCGGCCTCTAACTTTCAATGATGAAACCATGCAACATTCATTAAAACTTAGTCTGATTGTATAAACTTCCAAGTTTATTACTTTTCTTTTAAACACAGACTAGTACAAAAGTGTGGTGTGTGCAGAGCAGACAGGCATAAGCAAACAAACTGTGAAAAACCTGTTAATACCCTACTCCTCTTCCCCCTCTTCCCCCCTCTGGCACAAGGGGCCCATTCTGAGCCCACCTGTGGGGCGCAGGGGCAGCGGCAGGAGTTTTGAAGGGCTGGTTCCCCGCTCTAAGCCCTCCACTGTTTGAAGTGCTTGATGGGGGGTTCAGCACAGCTCTTGCTCACCTGGAGTAAAGCGGGGCTGGTCTCTGCTAGTCCACAGCGCTGTCGAGAAATACGTCTGAACGCATCACTACGCTACACAACTAAAGTACTCGAGCTGCCCCAGTCGTGGTCTTCAGCTACCCCTTCAGGGAGGTTTGTTAGCAAAAACACCACCCCCGGGGCCAGGAAGACGCTTCCTCTGCAAACCCCACAGTGGTTCAACCCTTGGTGCTCCCCTGGAGGGAGAAGGCCCAGCTTAGCTAGGTCATACTTCATCAGACCTTGAAGATAATACATCATCAGTACAAAAACAACAACAAAAAAATAATCTATGCTATGTAGTCAGGTTCACATTTAAAAAACAAAAACCACAAAAAATTCAAGTCTAACTCAGATTCCTTTTCTGTTTACCCCCTTGTTGTGCTAAAAAAAAAAAAAAAAAGCAAACTTCCCCCGTGTCAGGAAAGCCTAACCCCCGACACAGTCGACGATCGCCGCCGCTCAGCGGAGATGGTGCGAAGCTGGGTCCCTGCCCAGGGCCGCGCCGCTACCTCTTGTGAGTGGTGTGAAAGG